AGGGGATGATGGGAATGAGGGGATTATAGGAATGAGGGGATGAGGGAACGGCGGGAATGAGGGGACGATGGGAATGAGGGAACGGCGGGAATGAGGGGATTATGGGAGTGAGGGGATGAGGGGAACAGCAGGAATGACAAGAACGACAGGAATGAGGGGAATGACGGGATTATGGGAATGAGGGGATGATGGGAATGAGGGGATTATGGGAACGGCAGGAAGCAGGGAATGACGGGAATGGCAGGGATTGCAGGAATGACGGGAGTAACGGGAATTACAGGAATGGGATTGAGAACGGGGATCAGGATGGGAACAGGGATGGGAATAGAGATCAGGATGGGAATGGGAACAGGGATGGGAATGGGGATGGAATGGAGATCAGGATGGGAATGGGTATAACGAGGATTGCAGGAATTGCGGGAATTATGGGAATGGGGATGGGAATCTTGCCCCGGCGCTCACCGTGCTTGGCCAGCAGGGCCACGTGGGACATGTCGGCCGACCAGATCACGTACTTCACCTTGGAGATCTTCACCGAGGCCAAAGTCCTGGAAAAACCCCGGATCTGGGATCAGGGAACGGCCCAAAATCCAGCCCCAGAATCTCCAAGATCCCAAAAACCCCAGCAGATCCCAAAAACCCCCCGCATATCCCTTCTCCAGCCTTTCCTACCTTTCCACAGGAACAAGCAGGATTCGGGGTGGGAAAAACAGGATTTGGGGCCAAAAAAGGATTTGGGGTGGGAAAAGCAGGATTTGGGGAGGGAAAAGGCAGGATTTAGGGTGAAAAATAGAGGATTTAGGGTGGAAAAACCCTAGGATTTAAGGTGAAAAGAACCCAAGATTCAGAGTGAAAAAAACCAGGACTCGGAGCAGAAAAAGCAGGATCTAGGTGCGGAATTCCCGGAAAATTCCAGGAAAATTCCCAGAAAATTTCCACCTTTTCTGCTGGACGTCGAAGAGGGTGATGGAGTCGGAGTCCCTGAGGAGCAGGTTCCCGGTGCCCGCGTAGAAAATCTCGTCGCAGTTGGGAACCGGAACCTTCTTGGTGATCTCGTTCTTCAGGTTCTTGATCAGGATCTGCCCCCCGGGAAGAGAATTCCCAGGTTTTGGGGGGAATTCCCAGGTTTTGGGGGTTTTTAGGGAAAGCGGGGAGGTTTTTGTGCCCTTTGGGCTGAAGCAGAGTTGGGTTTTTCCAGGATTTTTCCCCTTTTTTTGAGGGAGCGCAAAGAGCTGGGTTGGGAATTGGGGTTTTCCCGGAATTCCAGGATTTTGGAGGTGGGAAAAGCCCTCCGGGAGCATCAAACCCAGCCCATATCCCAGGAATCCCTCAGCCCCCTCCAGGGATGGGGATCCAACCCTTCCGGTGCTTCCCAACCCTTTTT